TTTTCCCCCCTTTTTTTCATATGTCTGTAATTTTCCTTTGTTTTATCTTCATTTTGAACAGCAAATATATATATATATATATATATATATATATATATTTGCAATCTGAAATCAAATGGAGTATGGTTAGAATTGTTGAAGCTAGAGATATCAGGAAATATATGGGTGATTTACCTGAGCTAGTCCTTAATATTAAATTTCCGATCTCCTGAATGATATCCAGGTATTTAATATCCTAAAAGCCTCCCTATCAGTACACGGATTAGTCTATATTAATTTCGAAATCATGTAAACCTCCTTGAATGGTGAGATTTTGTATTTAAATTGTTTAATATATTTATTAGCATTTAGATTTTACACGAAAGTTTCTCCCATTACCTTGTAGACTGTTTATACTTCTGTTAATAATCAACGCCCTTTTTAAAGTGCATTACTTTTCAGACTTTTTGAAGAGTGTAATTAAAATTAAAAATGCACCTTTATGTGGCTTTATGTGTGTAATTGCTTACTCAGAAGTCTCAAGATCTGTTCATCACTCAAAATCTCTTTGAGACCACTTTTGATATGAGCAATTTTTTTCCAAACACATCAATTTTCATAAACATTCTTATGATTATTCTCATCTACGTGAGCTATTCCAATTAAATGTCTTCTCTCATTCATTAAATCTATTTTACCTTTCTAATTATATGTCTGATTTCAGCTTTCAAAGCTAATTTACCGTTCTAGCCATATATCTGCTTTCAGCTACCAAAGCTATTTTACCGTTCTAGCCATATGTCTGATTTCAGCTACCAGAGCTAATTTACAGTTCTAGCCATATGTCTGCTTTCAGCTACCCAAGCTATTTTACCGTTCTAACCAAATGTCTGCTTTCAACTACCGAAGCTAATTTACTGTTTCAGCTGCCAAAGCTAATTTACCGTTCAACCCATATGTTTGCTTTTAGCTACCAAGGCTAATTTACAGCTCTATCCATATAATTGATTTCTCTTTGTCAAATTTTTGTTTCGAATAAACTCTTAAGAAAATAAATCTATTTAGAAACTGAAACAATGATTATGAAATAGAATAAAATATTCGTTCTTTAAAAATTTTAACAATGTGTTTCATTTTTTAAAAGGAAGTAAATTAAAAACTTGAAGGGCTTTATAAATATTTTTAAAGAAAAGCAACATTTTTTTTCATTTCTCTGTGAAAACAAAAGAGGATTTTTAATAGGATTTAAGATCGATAAGGCGAATGTTAAATCATCGTGCAATTAAATCCTTTTAAAAACAGTTTTATTTTTTAAGCCGTGAACGATAATATTAAGATAGTTCCTCTTCTTTCTAACACGAAAGAAGAAAAAAAATGGTTCTATATTTTCTTACCTACTTTTATTATTCTACTTGGAATATTTACTTAATGCTTTTTTTTAATGCCAGATTGAGAGTGAAGTAAATCTTTAGTTAACAATTGTAAAAATAAAAAAAAAAAGACTAGAAAGTTTTTCTTGGTTTTTGAGGCCTCTTTTCTATTTTTTAACTTTACAAATCTTCTAATTGAGTGTTAAGTATATCGTATTTAATATGTAAATATTTTAGATTTTATAGACACTTTTTGAACTTAAATTTGATGGATTTTTGTGAAGTAAAAAACATTATCTCAAGTGCAATTTATCTTCTTACAGTTTTCTTAAGAAATTTCATCGTCATTAAACAAAGCGTTGAAACGGTTTCGTATTAATTTTTCTTGTCTTATGTTTGATTATTAAAGTTTTAGCGCTTCATTATTTCAACGCTGATTTTATTAAAGCATTGCTGAATTTGGAAAAGATACTGCACATTTAAAATGTTTGATTATTATGGTTTTAGCACTTCATTATTTCAACGCTGATTTTATTAAAGCATTGCTGAATTTGGAAGAGATAATACACATTTAAAATGTTTGATTGTAATAGTTTTAGAGCTACATTATTACAACGCTGATTTTATTAAAGCATTGCTGAATTTGGAAAAGATACTACACATTTAAAATGTTTGATTGTAATAGTTTTAGCGCTTCATTATTCCAACGCTGATTTTATTCAAGCATTGCTGAATTTGGAAAAGATACTACACATTTAAAATGTTTGATTATTATAGTTTTAGAGCTTCATTATTTCAACGATGATTTTATTAAAGCGTTGCAGAATTCGGAAGAGATACTACACATTAAAAAAAAATTGAACGACAATATTATTTCTTAAAAAAAAAAAAAAAAAAAAAAAAAAAAAAANGCGTTGAATAGGGTGCTATATTGTAATAGGGTGCAATCTTGTTTCAGCCGTATTAAACTATTATATTGCTCCACATTTCCGTTTCCTTTTATCGTGTAATCAGGTTTGGGAAGGAGGCAGTGTTTCTCCATAGCGTATGGTGCTTCAAATTTGAACAATTTCATGGTGTAACATGTCCCAAAATTTCTATCTGTTTATTTAATTTTTAATATTTAACTTGACTGCGCTGAATCTCTTAAAGCATAACGAAAACATGATTCGAAATGTGGTGAATGCTCATGCAGAATGTAGTCGAAAAGCACATCACAAAAGAGATCACAAGCAATCAATTGTTTCTTGACCTTTGTAATATATATTTTAAGAGTAATATATATTTTAACCTAATTTATTAAAACTCCTCATTAATTCGCCTAATTAAAGTGCATTTTTCAAGTCATTAAAATTGAATTTTGTTTGATGGAAATCCAAACATTTGATGAAAAGTTACTTGGGTATGTGCTTTTTTTTTGTCGCACTATGTAGAAAAGTCACGTTTCTTTAAGAGGAAATATATATATTTAAAACGTACTAATCATAGTAAATTATCATCTAAATAAAGATGTATAAATTTACATTACAAATTTACAAGATTCAACAATTGCTTCTTTTCGTTTAAAACAGGTAAATCATGGATTGGACGAAAACGTTATTTATTGCGACAAATTTCTTTTTTAGATTTCTCTTTATTTATAACTGAAATTGTAATGGAGCCATATTGACGAAAAGTTATTTAGAACGGCATAAAACATTAAAACATAATATTTAGTTCATTATAATGCTTTTGATTAATATAGAGAGAAAAGATTGTGAAAAAACTATCATACTTTATTGATAATGGCATTCCTGGTGTTAAAAAACCATATATTTGGTTAATAAAACCAAAATATACAATATTTATACCACACATTTAGTAATTTTTCCATTCATATGACAACGATGCACCGGGAAAGCCTGGTCGGTAGGCGCTGGGCCCATGTCCGAGAGTTCGTGGGTTCGAATCCCGCAGTTAGTAAAGTGACTGATGCACGTTAAATCTGTCGAGTCGCAAAAGTCCTCCATGTTCCCTTAAATCAATACCTCTGGGGGTACTGGATTGGAGATCGATCGTTCTCTGATTCAGGTCAAAATTACGATCTGTGGATGAATGAATGGGTCCGCCTTATAAGCAGATGTGACGTATGATGGGACAGAATTCGAATTCTTTGCCATAGATGGCGCCACTGAGAAACAAGAATCTCACGCTCTGCCTCAAATTTGCTCGATTTCACCAAGCAGGCTTGCCCGAGTGGGAAGTGACATTAGAACCAATCAACCAACGATGCACCGGAAATTTCGATGCACCGGAAATTTCATCGACTAAATGGTTTTTATGACATGCTCTAACGTATCAGGATAAAATCGTCAAATTTTTCCAAACTTAACAAAATTTATGACACATTATGAAACTATATTTTATTGTTAATTTTACCAAAATCATTACCAGAGAGTTTCAGTAAAAGTTACCGAGCTATTTTGATATTTCCGTGGTGCCAGGAACACGGTAAATTTTACCATAGCCTGGTAGTTTTGACCATACTTTTTTTTTCTCAACGTGCATAGAGAATAAAAACTATACGGAATAGCTAACCTATTTCCAAGGATTCATGGACGAAGGATTTGAAAATTAGATTGAAATTGTCTTTGCGATAAATTTTTTTCCTGATTAAAAAATTTATATTTCCAACGAAAAAAATATTTTTATGATTAAAAAATTATACATTGTTTAAAATTTTATTTTATGATTATTTTTTTTTCTGTTAAAATTTCAAATTTAATTATTTTTTTGTTGAAAAAAAAATTTTTTTTATATAAATTTTTATTTTATTTTTGTGATAAAAAACAAGTTATATATAAAAAAAAATTAAAGTCAATTCCTACTTAGATCAATAAAGAAAATTTTTATTTTAGTTACTTTTTATTAAATAATTGTATTTTTTTTTACCCATATAAAACTAAAATTAATTAATTAATATCAGAAAAATTTTTATTAACTTCAAAGTGTCATCCACTAGAAGTTTAAAAAAATTTTATTTGAATTTGAGTGGATGAATAAAAAGTATTTTATTAACGATTCAAAATTTGAACAAAATATAGGAAGAGTGGGAAACTAATAGTAGGAATTGAATAATCTTATTTTGGTAGTTAAAAAAAATTATTTCTACGAGGAAATAATTATTTTACTTATACGATTATTACTGTTTTAAGATTTATTATTTTCTAAATGTTGTTTCGTTTTCAGGTAGTTAGCTCTGTATTTGAGCTCCTCAGGTATTACAAATGGTATAAATTTTCCATAATCTATGAAAAGTCTGAAATCTATGAGACTGTCTACCACAGTTTGGAGAAAAATATTGAAGAACCCTTCGTCATCAACCATGAAGTAGGTTTTCGTAATTCGAGGATCTGTTGCTTCACTGGAGATCGAAGTTGTTGTGTCAATCCTTTTGTCAAAGTAGTTCAGAACACAACTGCAAGCACGAGAAGTAAGTACAACTCTTATTTTATAATAAGTTTTTGTTATATGGCCTACAGTTTCTGTCCCAATTATCTGTGTTAATTTTGTGAAATTAAGACGAAGTCGACTTTCACCGGTTAATACCAATAACCACATAGTGGGCCGGGATTATGTGGTTGGTAGGGCACTGGACCCATGCCGAAGAGTTCGCGGGTTCGATCCTCGCTGGCCGAAGACTCCCCGTGTAGTAAATGGTGGCTGATGCACGTTGAATCTGTCGAATCGCAAAGTCCACCATGTTCCCATGACAAATCAATGCATCTGGGGGTACTGATCCAGGAGATTCCTTGTCTTCTGGATTGGGTTCAAAATTACAAGGCTACGGAGTTGAACATTAGTAGTCGTAAACCCAAAATTGGGTCTGCTGTTCAACGACGGATACAAAATAAAAATATAATCACATAGTAGTGGAGCTGTGGTGGCTCAGAGAATAGAGTGCTCGCCTCCCAATGAAGTGAAACGGGTTCGAATCCCGGGGAAGTATAGTTTCGAATTCCGCACCCGGCTCCTACCGACCCAGTGCTGACGTAAAATATCCTCAGTTGTAGACGGATCTTGGGAGTCCCCTTGCCTTCAGACTAACATTGGGAGGTTTTCCTCTCCATGTGACTCAAATGCGGGTTATTTCCATTAAAAAGTCCCCCACGACAGCAAATTTGTCTCAATACTTGGATCATACACAGTAGCATCTATACAATGATTGAAACTATTGTTTGAGGTTTTGCGTTAGTTACCATATTCTCTGGCCGGGATAGCCTGGTTGGTAGGGCTCTGGGCCCATGTCCAAGTGGTCGTGGGTTCGATCCCTGCCGACCGAAGACTCTCCGTGTAGTAAATGGTAACTGATTCAAGTTAAATCTGTCAAGTCTCAAAGTCCTCCAAGTTCCCATAACAAATCAATACCTCTGGGGGTACTGGGAGATGGATCGTTCTCTGATTCAGGTCAAAATTACGATCTGTAGAGGAATGAATGGATGTATAAATGGGTCCACCATCTAAACGAGTGTGACGTATGGGTGTGGGAGAAGTCGATTTCTCGGCCATAGATGGCACCACTGGAAAACAAGAACAATCGCACCCCCTCTGCCTTAATGACATACGTCAACAACAACAACCATATTCTCTGGGCATGTTTTTTATTACTTTTTAATGTTTTGAGTTTTTTTTCTTTAAAAAAAAAAAAAAAAAAAAAAAAAAAAAAAAAAAAAAAAACTAATCCAACTAAAAAATTGAGTACACTGTCTCAAATTTAGCTACGCTTGGGTGTTGAAATAATTTTATTAACATGAATGGTTTAAAGCGATGTAAAAGATCTACGCCTGAATAATTTTTATTACGATGCTCTGTATAAAATTGAAGTACCAAATAGATGCTTTTGACCAAAACTTTGAAAACCCATTTTACAAAATTTGAATATCCAAACACTCAAATGTATTTATAGTCAGATGGTGCAAACCATTATTTTGTGAAAAATATTATCTCTGAAAGATACTTGAAGAGCTTGAAAGATTAATGTTGCATTTTTCATTCACTCAACTCCTTCCTTCAAAGTAAATTAAATTAGCCATAAACTTTTGGAGTGGATTAACTTTCAAATAATATTACATAGAGACTTATGCACAGAAACTTTTTAAACTTAACTATTTATATTAACAACTTATATTTTGCACGTTTACTATATTTTAATAAATTGTTACCGCCGTATAACATTTTACATATTAACTATGTATTTATAAATGATTTAATAGTTAAGTTAGAAAGTTTTATAACATTTTCTTAATATATTTATTACATTTATTTTATAATATTAGTGATTAAATGATTAAAATTTCCTAGCACTTTTGCTTTAGTTTTTAAAAAATTATTATCAGCGGAAGTTTTTTTACGATTTCATTTGAGCAGTTAATATTAAAGAGAAAAAATAAATAAATAAGTAAATATTTGATATTGATGCAGGTAACATCAAATAAGTTGACTAATACTGATAAGTTAACTACACTGAATAAAAATACTAATATCGTAATTGTAATGTGTATAAAATTACACTATTTTTTTAACTAATTAAAACTAGTAACTTAAATACTAGTAACTAATGTAAAACAATAAGATTTTAATACAAATCTCTAAAAAATATTCTTATTTTTGTTATTAAACAATGCTATTAAATAAATAAAATTTGTAGAAAGTTTAATGTAATCATATTTTGTAACTAATAAGATATTATTTCAAATGAAAATAAAATCTGGGAAATTTAAAGAGAATTGTAAAATTAATTTAAAATAAAATTTTGCAGTTCATTTATATGTAGTCATTCTCATTCGATGAGTGTAATAGATTGTTTTCATATTTAGGTTTAATGGACATTTTTATTTTTTTAATCACACATATTATTATTATTTATTAATTTATTTTCAATTTAGTAACTTAACACAAATGAAAATTCTTTTCGTTATGAACATTGTAACATAAATAACACGCTCAAATTTTATTAAAACGTGTTATTTATTTTTTAGATATTTCTTTAACTTAGCCAGGAATCGCAAAAATTACGATTTTTCCTTTAATCCACATTTAGAAAATGGCGCACCTCCCATTCAATAATAATCCAAAATAATTGTTTTTATATAAATAGTGGCGCCATCTATTAATTATTTTTGAAACCGTTTTTTTCTCATTTTTGAATCTTCGTTTAGCGAGTTATAACAGTTGTTTTTCGGTATAACATTTTAATACCTTTAAATTAATAATATTATCAGTCGTATGTAGAAAAAATGGAGCATAGCATGCGAGAATTAATTAGAAATTGCGATGATATTTCAATTCGTAGTATTTTTTTTTTTTTTTTAAATCTTCGTTTATTAAATTATTTTTCTTACTTTTTTCTTGTTTAACCTAATCTTCCTAAATGATATTTTTTTGTTATTTATAAATAGCTTTAGTTTAAATAGTACCAAATAATAATAATAAAAAAAACATTAAATGTTTTCATAAAATTTTCCTACTTTTAAGTTTAAATACTAACGGTAATATGTAATTCCTTAAATAAACATAAATATATAATTTTGAAATGTTTTGATATCACAGCTTTCCTTCAAAAATATTTAAAAAAATAAATATATGTATGTAAATGATCTAAAAATACTTAAAATAAAATACCGCATTACTAAATCATTTTTTTTTTGTGTGTGTGATTATTTTTAAAATTAGTTAATTATTGTAATTATTAAGCTAATAAAATTAAAAAAAAGTTAGATAAACTGTTTTTTATCTTTTTTAAGCTATACAATTTATTTGTTACAATTAAAAGCATAATTCGGAAATGAAAGTCAAGTTGAAATTTTTATACTTAACTTTGCAGTTTATGTTTAGAATTTTTTCAGTTTTTTGTTATGTTTGGAATTTTACTTTTAACAAATTTATGTTATGCTATGAATTTTTTAAATTTCGTAATATATTTTTATGTATTATAAAAAACGTATGTAATGTTTTTATGTATTATAAAAAACAATTCTAACAAAAATCATTCAGAACTCGTCTGCTATATTTTCATTAATTATTATAATTTCATTATGTTAATAATAATGTTTATAATATTAATAATAATGTTAATAATATTATTGATAATGTAAATAATATTATAATATTTTCATTTTGTTAAGAATATTATTGATAATGTTAATAATATTATAATATTTTCATTATGTTAAGAATAATATTAATAATAATGTTAATAATATTACAAAATTTTCATTTTGTTATGAAGCAAATTGCAGACCCTTTAGTGGGCTAAAGAAAACACCAAGTACAGTATACCACACTATTTTTAAAAAGAACAAACAACAAATTAAGGAAAATTATAATTCTCTCTAATTCAGCACAATATGTGCAAAATTTTATTGCAAAAAATAATAGTTTCAGAATTTAATTTCAGAATTACTGAGTTCAGAATTAAAAATATTAATATTTCCAGTAGAACTCTATTAATAGAACACTGAATAGCTCATAAGAGTTTGAGATCAATATTTAGGAAATTTCAGTGGTACTTTTCATTAAAAAAATAATCAGTATCAACTAGTTTATATTCCTTCATATCAATCAAATATTTTAATAATTTTATTTTCAATAATTTTGAAATAAAAACACAGTGGATATGTTACTGTGAATGACCGAAATCGGAGGTTGTTAACTTCCACCGGGGAATGTTGACAATCACATAGTCACTTTGGTTCTACGTCTAGTTAAGTGCCACTGCCCGGTATGCCCTATATGAATGTTTTTTTAAGGTCAAGTGCCACTGCCCAGTATAAATTTAGCTCTGAACACTGATGTTTCTCCTTATATATCCTCAGCAGATATTGAAATATCGAATAAATATCATCAAATAATTAGATATGAAATCGGATATAACAAATATTTCGAACATTCACCAAAGCGACTGTGTGATTGTTGACATTCACCGGTGAAAGTTGGCATTCTCTTGATTTCGATCATTCAAGGTAACAGATATACGTCTCAGCAAGCATTTGTGTTCAAAAGCAATTTTCTGGCTGAACTAATAATTAAAATAAAAAAGATATTAGATCAAATATTCAAACCGATCATCTGAAGAACTGCATTTATATTCGTAGAAAATGAGATGTAAGAGTAAGCAAAAATATTAGCATTACAGCCGAATTTTTAACTCATTTGCTGAAATCGCATTTTATTTTAATAAATAAATCGACATTTTAATTTTATATTGTACACGGTTTTAAGAATGATGTCTGCAGTAGATATCTAAAGATCTGTTACAGGGTGAGGAAGTAAGACCTTATTTCTTTCTCTTGTTGGCAACAAATAATTGAAATATCAAGTGTGTGAGCTGTCATAAGCAGAAAAGCGCAAATGTACATGTTTACAAATTTCTGAATCAAAATTCTTTTTCTCTTCTCAACAACCAAAAGATGAAACAGACATATTTATAAGTTGGGAAGAATTGAAAGGTTAAAAGTGAAAAATTCATAAAAACAAGCAAAATTTTCTATATTGTGTTTTAATTGTACTTGTGCAGGTTCAATGATAATAATTTTTTTTCACTGTTATTTTCAATTTTTGAAAAAAATGGGTATATTAGTCGTTCTGTTTCGTTTTTAAGAACAATAAAAAAGGCGTGCTCGAAGATCTGAAGAGAGAGTTGATGACTGTTATGACAGAATGCGTTCTGTTAATTTAAATATAATTAAAAAAAGCGTGCTCAAAAACTAGAAGAGAGAGAGTTGATGACTTTTATGAAAGAGTGAGTAACGGGCGTGCTCTTATGCATGTTGTTTGTTATATAATCTTTTAAAACCAATATTTATTTAATTTTTCAAAAACGGATCAGCAGCTATTGCGTCTTTTTGAATTTATTATATAGAATATTTACAATTGTATAAAACGTCGGTTTTTTTTAATAAAAAAATGGGAGCTTTGGAGAAAGTTGAAATTGTCCACTTCATCTAAAAGCAGTTAGAAACCATCTGGCTCAAAGTTGGCGAGACCGTCCGAACTTGCTGACGCGAAATTCAATTTCTCAGAAACTATTCAACCGATTTCGCTCAGATTTTGTATTTTGCCATTTAAAACTACATACTTTAGAATGACGCAAAAAACTGTATACCTTACCATTCAGAAGGTTTTCTTCAACTATTAACAAATAAAAGAGTGAAAAATAATAAATATATGCTTAAATGTATTTTCGCATGGCATTATCGTTGAATAAATGAATTATATAATTGTGTGCAAAATTTTTTCAATTCGCTTAAAATATTTCGAGATGTAAGGAAATACGCAAAAAGTAAAATTAGCGTTATGGGGTCCAAAATTTGGATCACTGTCCTGACCAAACTCTGGGGACCATAGTTCCCAGATTGTGGCTACCGGCGTCAGAAATCTGAATGCGTTGAAAAAAAAGGCATTTTTATTCTGAGTAAGTACGTTTTTGTGTCTGATTTCGTAACTTAAAATATCGTCTGTAGTATTTAGTTAGCATATTTAAGTTCATCCCCTGGAACCATTAAGAATGAATCCTAGAACGTGAAAATCCGGTCATTAGATCAAAAGTTATTCAGAGTAGTCCATTTTTTTCCTTCTTTTTTTTTGGCGCACTGTACATGATTTCTCATTTTGTTAATTGTCACTATGAATATGGAATATTTTTGCATTAAAATAAGCTAATTTATAAGTCTTTTTTTAAATTTATATTCCAATATTATTTCTTAAATTTTAATTAGCTAATTAATTGAATCTCAATTTAAAATATTTGGATAGGACTGTCTTGTGCGAAATAATAATAATATTGATAGAGATGTTAAATTGGATTTTTTTTCATAGTTTATTTATTTCTGGGAGATACAACTGACCTTGGTCAGCTGCTAACTGCTCTGCAAATGCGAGGTCATCTTGCTACAGGAAAATATATGGTAATTTATGTTGACATGGAGACGTACTCAGAAGAAGACTCGGCCAAGTACTTCAGACAACGTAAGTATACATTCAATTCGTTTCTTCTTTTTTTTCAGTATGTACGAATAGAAGATTCCAGGCAGTTAACGATCACCGTTTCAAATCATTTTACTGCAGTTCTCAAATGGAAAGCTAGGTAAACCTAAAAATAAAGAATGAGAACAAACTATTTTTTTTTTCACACAGAGACAAAAACTTGCCTGTAACTTTTTATGTTTTATGTTAGTTCTGCTTTTCGTAGATTAGCTTGGCATCAAAAGAATTGACGCCTGTATTTCTTATGCTTAAGTTAGTTCTATTTTTCGAAAATTAGCTTGGGGCCAAAAGGATGACTTGCCTGCAACTTTTTATGTTTTATGTTAGTTCTATTTTTCGTAGATCAGCTTGGCATCAAAAAGATGATGCCTACAACTTTTTATGTTTTAAGTTAGTTCTGTTTTTTTCGTAGATCAGCTTGGCATCAAAAGAATGAGTTGCCGGAAACTGTTCTTGTTTTAAGTTGGTTCTGTTTTTTCGTAGATTAGCTTGGCGTCAGAAGGAAGACTTGCCTGCTACTTTTTATGTTTTATGTCAGTTCTCTTTTTCGTAGATATTAGCTTGGCATCAAAAGTATTGACGCCTGTATTTTTTATGTTTAAGTTAGTTCTATTTTTCGTAGACTAGCTTTGGAATCAAAAGATGACGCCTGCAATTTTTTATGTTTTAGGAAAGTTCTATTTTTTCGAAAATTAGCTTGGCGTCAAAAGGATGACTTGCCTGCAACTTTTTATGTTTTTTGTTAGTTCTATTTTTCGTAGATTTTAGCTTGACATCAAAAAGATGATGCCTGCAACTTTATATGCTTTAAGTTAGTTCTGTTTTTTCGTAGATCAGCTTGGCATCAAAAGGGTGATTTGCTAGCTTGAAGTCACAATAATGACCTGCCTGCTGCTAATAATATTTCTCAATGTTAATAATAATTTCCAAAACTCAACAGATGGCGCTCTGCGCAGTAATGCGAAATCATTCATTGTAATCAGTTTTTTTCCACGCTACTCTATCATGAACATTTTCCATGTTTTGTTATTAAATATATTATGCTAAAGGCGTTTGTAATGATTTAAAACCCCTAGATCATCGTATTTAACACCTGCTACTGTTCATGTTTAATATTTGTCATGTCATTAATGTAGTCTGTAATATCACACATGTATGTATTTATGCTAGTACTGTGGTGTTACTAGCATTACTCAATTGTTACAATCGGAATTAGGATCGCAGTCACTTGTATGGGAAGAATCTTAAAATTCAATAGTTATTATCGTTCAACATCTAAACTTATTTTATATAGTAAGCTATTGTAATGCAAGTTCAGGGATTTGTTTATTACGTTTCTCCAACCCCAAAATTGTATTTTTCTCATTTATTTATTTATTTGTTCGCTTGTTTGTTTTTATTGTTACAATCATAAACATTCAAAACTTCTCTTACTGCTTATATGAATTAAAAGCTTTGCTGATTCTAATCGATAGCATTTACTGCAAAAATATAATACTTAGTCTCATCTCAAAAATACCATTTGATTGTATACATCTGTAGTAACTTGGAAATATTTCACTTTAGAAGAAATAATTGTTACATTAATATCTGAACTTAACCATAGATACTGGAAAGAAATTGTCAAGGAATTGATCAGAGTCTGACTAAGGCAGGGCATAAGGGGCAGTTGCCCTGGGCCCCCAAATCGAATAGAAAGTTTATTTTACGTTTAATGAACTTTTTTTTAAACATAATATCAATAACAGTGTAAAATCCATCAGTTTTATGTTAGCTTCTTTATTAATCTATCGTATGAGCACAATCTAACTTTCGTAAATCCATGGCTTACTAGGGCGAAATTCAGCTAAACTTTCGCAATTACGGTGGACAAATTTGGCCACTCAAAAACCTGTATTTCTTACCTATCGCAAAATGCGATACTTTTACAAAAATACAGGTTTCTGACTGGATTAATTGAGCCATCGTAATTGCGAAAATTTAGCTGAATTCCGCCCTAATGTCAGTAAGGATATGATTTTTTCTGCTGAATTCTTCTGATGAGAATTTGAATAGTAAGAAAACTGCATGAATATAGAATTTTCAGAAAATCTATAAAATGGACAGAACAGTTTTTCCTCCGACCATCGGAGGGAAGAGAAATTTATAGCTATTTTGAATTCTGATCAATTTTCTTGTTATCTATAATGAGGTGAAAAATTTAAATACCTCCATAAAGTTCCGTTTTACTGAAGTATTGAAACAAACGAGGGGCCCTATTAGGCTAAGTCGGGCCCTGGAATTGATTACTTCAGGATTGTCCAGAATGCTTACGATTTTTGCTTATGTTTTAGATGAAAAAGGTTACGAAGTGGTGATGATGGCTGCTCAATCTCTTCTCGTCCTCGTTACTACTCCACCTAGAGGAGACAACTACACGGAATTCGAGAACAAAGTCAGAGTGTATAATGGTGAAGAACCTTTCAAATCTTCCATTTCTACACTTTTTCCTAATCGTTCACTTGTAAGTAGAACCACCTCTAAATTTGTTCTTTCCACCTTAAATTTGTTTCGGAAAGAAATAAAAGCCATGATACTCGCAGCAATCTAAATTGCATTAAGTAACAGCAAAACAGTGAATCGAATAAAGTACTTTTAAAATGTTCATTCTCTGAACAGATAAAACAATTTACAAAGAATAATAGAATCAACAAAAATAATCTTAAGCAAGCATTTTTAAGGAAAAAAAAGTTTACGAACTAATTAATATTAGAAAAAAAGTTAAGATCGGCTTTTAACGATCACTGGTTATCCTTTGGTCAAATACTATTTGTTTCTGGATTGACTCCGTTAAACGCCACAACATTTCAAATCATGGGTTGCAAAAACTGTCTCCTTTTGATGTCTGTCGTCGGATTAGCTTTTCATATCCTGCCTATGTACGTGTTTCAAAAATACTTTTCCTTCTTTAGCATTCATATTTATATTTAAATCACCGTCAAGCAAGTCATAATACGTTAATAACAAAAAGAATGTAAAAAATACTTTATATTATTATTATGCAAATACATTAAAAATGCCTGATAGCGAAAAGAAAAAGAAAAACGGCAGCGGTCGCTATAGCAATGACGACGCATGCGCACTGTTCACTATTACTCTCGAACACAGTTGAAAAATACGTGGACGCCATCAAGACCAAACCAAGACCCATTTTGCCAATGGGTGAAAGAGTTGAAAAAGTGTTAAATTACAGCATTAGTAAAAAAGTCCGACTTGATAAATTTAGATTAGTTTACATTTTTCTTTTCCTCTGTACACTTTTACATATTATTATTATTGTAATTTTATTTGAAATTGATTCCGGGTGATGTTGCAGGTAATTACTCCATATGCCTCGTATCTTTATGATGCTGTAACCCTCTACGCGGATGCATTAGCCAAAGCCTTGAGAAATAAAACTGATCCTATGAACGGACGGGAAATCATGCGAATATTTAGAGAACGTACTCAATATACAAGTAAGATTTTATTATTATTTATTATTATAAGAATTTATTATTTTTTTTCAGAAGATTTTATTGTTTTTTTACCCCGAAAGACTTAAACTTTAGAATTTGATCCGCGATGGCTCAGGGGATAGAGCTCGCCTTCCAATGAAGTGAACAGGGGTTCGACCCCGGTGATGACTGGTCGATACGAATTCCGCATCCGGCTTGCACCGACCACAGTGCTGACATGAAATATCCTCAGTGAGAGTCCCCTTACCGTCTGGCTAACCGTAGGAGGTTCTCGTGGTCTTCCTCTCCGTGTAACGCAAATGTGTATTAGTTCCTTCAAAAAGTCCTCCACGAAGGCAAATTTCTCACAATACTTGGTCCAGGAGCTCCCTTGTCTTCTGGGTTGGGTTCAAAATTACACGGCTGCGGAGTTGAACATAGTTGTAAACTCAAAAATTGGGTCGGCTGTTCAACGATGGTTATAAAATAAAAAAAATTTTAAAAAAAACTTTAGAATTTAAGGGCTGGGATAGCTTGGTTGATAGAGTACTGTGTCCATGACCAAGAGGTTGTGGGTTCGATCCCTGTCGGCCGAAGACTCCCCATGTAGTAAATGGTGACTGATGCACGTTAAATCTGTCGAGTCACAAACTCTTCCATGTTCCCATAATAAATCACACCTCTAGGGGTACTGATCCAGGAGTTTCCTTATCTTCTAGATTGGGTTCAAAATTACAAGGCTATGGAGTAAAGCATTAGTAGTCGTAAACTCAAAATTGATTCGGCTAGTTNTAGAATTTAGAATGCATGCTATTGAATTATATGGAGAAGAAAGTATGATCAGAATTACCAGTACATGGTAAAATTTACCGTGCTTCTGGATCTTCAGAAACTCCAAAAGGCTCGGTAATTTTTTGCCGGATTCGGTAATGATTTTGGTAAAATAACAATAAAAAAATAGTTTTATGATACGTGATAAAACTTGGAAAATGTGGTAAAATTTAATAATTTTACCATGATATCTTAGAGAAATACATAGAAGCCATTCTTACTGTTACATTTACTTTACAATTTTGTATATTTTACTAAATGTGTGGTAGCAAGAATTATAAATTTGAAGAACAGTATTTTCGGGAAACCGTTACCATATGAATGGAAAAATTACTAAATGAAGGGTTTAAATACCTTATATTTTGGTTTCATTAACCATATTTTTCTTTCAGAAATGTTTTTACAAACATGGTAATTTTACGAGAATTTTTTTCTCTGTGTGCAAATTGCGTTTTTGTGGATATTTTGTTGGTCTAAATTTTTAATACATTTTTAAAAATCGAATGTGCTCCAACTGTGCAACACCAGTGTGACAATTTCATTAAAACCACCATTACATTTTTTACAGATACAAAAAATTAATGCCTGTAAAAAATTGCAATTTTATTTTAACCTCGAGAAACAGAATTTTGTAAAGATATCTGACAACAATAATTTGCGTAATAATTGCGAAGTTAAACTAAAAATGTTTTTTAATTAATGATAAATACCTGTTTATTTTTCATTGAATTAAATATTCTATTTAATTTTATTTCATTAAGTATTTCATTTACAATTAATTTATATCTCATTTGGATTACAAAAAAAATTATTTTGCTTTAAATGTTTATTTTATTTTACTTTTTAATCATTTTGCAAAACTTTTCTTTAACTTGCTTATTTTATTATTTGATAAATACAATAAAGATTTTGCCAGAAAAGGATAAAGAAATAAAGATTAATATTGTATAATCGTTTTCGTATACTGTTATCGCCAAATATCATCAGCTCAAGCTTTTTTTTCATATTCTTTTAAATTTCACCATTATGGTTACTTAAATCAAACTTATTTTAAAACTTGTCATTGGTGAATCTAATGGAATATTTCATATAAGGTGGAGTATTGTTGGAAAAAAATGCTATAAACAGCGCTCTGAAGCTCTGCAAAGATTAAAAATTCTCACAATTTAAAAAAATACATCCATCTTTTCCCTCAAAAATTACAATTGATAAAAATCAAAGAAAATTGTAGTTCTTTGAATATATATTTACTTCAGCATACATAATCCAGTTGAGTTAAAAAGTCATAAAATAAACCAAGTTTACCTGAGAGTTTTAGTTCTGACTAATAAAATTTAGTTCTGCCCAGATGTTTTTATATTTAATTTTTTCTTCTCTCTTTTATAAGATTATGTTACCCATTTCATTTATTTATTTGCTTATTATTATCATATTATTACTATATTATTAATATTTATATTTCTCTTTAAAAACTAAAAATAAGTAGACGAAATTAATTTACTCTAAAGTAGATTTTATTTTATATTTTATTTTATAATCGTCGTTGAACAGCTGACCCAATTTTACGGATTTATGATTACTAATGTTCAACTCCGTAGCCTTGTAATTTTGAACCCAATTCAGAAGACAACGGAACTCCTGAATCGAGTATTGGGAAAAATTTGCCTTCGTGGAGGACTTTTTGATGGAGCTAACCCGCATTTGCGTTACATGGAGGGGACGACCACGAGAACCTTCCACGATTAGCCTGACTGCAAGGGGCCTCTAACCCATGATCCATCTACCACTGAGGATATTTCACGTCAGCACTGTGGTCGGTGCAAGCCGGATGCGGAATTCGTATTAATTGGGATTCGAACCCGGTTTGCCGCATTGTAAGGCGAACGCTCTATCCCCTGAGCCATATCTGCTCTTTAAAGTAGATTTAAAATTTTACAACTAATGAATGAGCAATCCTTAAGGACCTTCCTCTGTGACGTCATTAAAACGTATATTAGTAAGTTTCCTTTCGCCCTCGTAACAGTAGAAACTTTTAATTTTGATCGTCAACGCTTTATTCTTTTTCATTTGACCTAATTAATTCGGTACATTTAAAGAGTAAATCCTATACAATTTAATATCTCTATCATACTTTCATTTACTCCTATATATTTATTTGTTAATTTTATTCCGTTATGTCGAAACAATTTACTATAAACATGGAGGGAAAATCTAAATTGATACTAGCGAAAATAATCTATTCCGTAATTATAACCAATAAAACCTCTTCGTATTTATTCTTGAAAATGAAGTTTAAAATGATTAATGATGCTTGGTGAGCCGTGGTAGCTCAGGGATTGGGTGTTTGCCTTCCAATGAGGTCCGAATCCCAGTCGAGACAAATTCTGAACCCGGCCTGCACCGGCCACAGTACTGACGTAAAATATCCTCAGCGGTTGACGGATCATAGGTTAGAGTCCCTTTGTCGCAGGCTAACAGTGGGAGGTTCTCGTGGTCTTCCTATCTATGATGTAAGCAAATGCGGGTTAGTTCCATAAAAAAGATCTCCATGAAAGCAAATTTTTCCCAGTGCTTGATCCAGCAGCTCCTTTGTCGTTAGGATTGGGTTCAAAATTACAAGGCTACGTAATTGAACATTAGTAGTTGTAAACCCAAAAATTGGATCGGCTGTTCAAAGATGGTTACAAAATAAAGTAAAATAAAATGATGTTTGGTGAGCCGTGGTGGCTCAGGGGATAGAGCGTTCGCCTTCCAATGAGGTGAACCGGGTTCGAATCCCAGCGATGGCTAGTCGATACGAATTCCGCACCCGTCTTTCATCGACCGCAGTGCTGACGCAAAATATCCTCAGTGGTAGACGGATCATGGGTTAAAGTCCCCTAGCCTTTAGTCTAACCGTTTCGTGTTTTTCTACTGCATGTAACATAAATACCGGTTATTTCCATCAAAAAGTCCTCCATGTCGGCAAATTTCTCCCAATGCTTGAACCAGGAGTTCCCTTGTCTTCTGGATCGGGTTCAAAATTACAAGGCTACGGGGTTTAACATTAACAGTCGTATACCCGAAAATTGGGTCAGCTCTTTTCTGATGGTTATAAAATAAAATGATGCTTGGTAAGCATATTTAAGTAGACATTTTATTCAACATTGACATAACTGAAGAGCAAGAAAAAATCGAGAGAATTTAAAATATTTAAACACTTTCGCTGAAGAGACGCACGTCAAAATGCTTTCGTTATAAAATTGCTAAAGACATGTCGTATACCTTGGTAAAAAAAAACCTTCGTGAAACCACAGAAAAGATTGCTCCAATTTCACTGTGACTGAGATTCGGGCACATCTGTTTATTTCTTGCAATTGATTAAATCGAATAGCATTTTTTTAAATGTAAAATTTACATATTTTGGCTTCGTTAACATCATAGAAAATTCATGCAATCATTTTATGGAATTAAAATGAAACAAATTCCTAACCGTTTAAAAAAATTTCATAAATTCAATATGTATTAACGTTTCTAAAAGAAATTCATCGAATTATTTCCTCATTGATTTCGCTGTATGCCAGGAAATGTAGCCATTTTGTGCGCTTTAAAAAGAAAATGGCTAGTATTTGTGCAGAATACTTTTCTGCGGAAATATTCCGAAATGCATTCGCCAATCGAATTGTAATTTTGTTTCTATAATAGTTGATTTTAGAGCTGAGAGTAAATAAACGAAGAAAATAAAATTTTTGTCAATTTCGAAATAGTTTGAAAGTTACAGCCTTTAATTTTGGAATTGTAATTTATAAGAATCCAAAACTTGGTTTATATTTCTGAATAATATTTGTTTTGTGCTGTCTTTGTTTCAAACCTTCTGCGAAAGAATCATCTATTAGACTTGTAAGAATATAAACAAAGGAAAAAGAGCAAAAATAATTTCCCAAGAGGACGCCACCTGTGGGGGAAAGTTTTCATCGCAAATTCTCTTTCATCTCCAAAACTAATTTAAAATTTAAAATGAAGAAAAGTGAATTCAGACAAACATAGAGTAACTCATGAAGTTTCAATCGCTGATTTCTTTTTCCTTCTAAATATCAAAATGCAAACAAATTATTGGAAGACAACTTCTGTGTTCTCCTAAATTAACTTCTCATACTTAAACTTCTAATTATTTTGCATTTACTTCTCCTAAATTATCTTCTCGTGCTTTAACTTCTAATTCTTTTGCATTTACTTCTCCTAAATTATCTTCTCGTGCTTTAACTTCTAATTGTTTTGCATTTACTTCTCCTAAATTTTCTTCTCATTCTTTAATTTCTAATTGTTTTGCATTTACTTCTCCTAAATTTTCTTCTCAGGTTTTAATTTCTAATTGTTTTGCATTTACTTCTCCTAAATTATCTTCTCATTCTTTAATTTCTAATTGTTTTGCATTTATTTCTCCTAAATTTTCTTCTCATTCTTTAATTTCTAATTGTTTTGCATTTACTTCTCCTAAATTTTCTTCTCGGGCTTTAATTTCTAATTGTTTTGCATTTACTTCTCCTAAATTATCTTCTCGTGCTTTAACTTCTAATTGTTTTGAATTTACTTCTTCTAAATTATCTTTTCATGCTTTATTTTATTTTGACATATTAAAAATTTCTTACCAATATTTGAAATTTTATGGCTAGGTCAGTTTGAACTCACCTTTTCTTTAATTTAAATTTTAAATTAGTTATTGATGTGAAAGAGAATTCACGATTTCCCCCATGGTATGGTTTAAACAAGAGTGGAAACATGAGAAAAATTTCTTTTGTAACTTCATGTTTTCCTCCTGTTTATGTGGCATTATTTTTAACATCATTAGTGCTGCTTTATTTATGTTTCATTATTAGTGCTCGTTATTTTCCAGCTTATATACCCAAGTCAAAATTTTTGATGGTTTTCCATTGATGGACCAACATAATCTCGATGGTAACTATCAATAATTCCATCATGAGCATTTATATTTTTAATGGTAACCAACATAAGTAACCATCACCTCAATGTAGGAATTCGGACTGATTTATGATGGTCCAACATAAGAATAGCAACTTGTTTTGATGGTTTGTTCATGTTGACCCATCAGAAATTTCCATCATAGTTTCTCAGAAATCAAACGTTGGAGCGATCATGTGGGAACTGGTTTATGATGGTCCAACATTAAAACCCCCAAATAGTTCTGAGGTATATTCTTGAGAACCAACAAGAATTCCCATCATGGAAATGTATAGTTGGTACCATCATGAACCAGCACTGATCCTCTTGGATTATTGGTCCATGAGAGTCAAACTTCTCTTGATGGTTAACCATCACAGCATTAGAGTAGCATTTTCCGTCATGAAATGATGGAAGTTTGTTGGCATATCAAAAACCATGATTCATCTTATGTTGGATGACGGCGACAGTCAAATAATGTTGGACCATCATGAATCGCACTGAAGCCAACTTAAACCATCAAAATTGTTTGACGGGACCATCAAGAATTTTGACTTGGGTGGAGTTGACCTTTTCTTTACTTGGATTCGTGTTTAACCCTTGTTTAGGTGTGACGGGGGCAATTATGCGGATTGACAAAGATGGAGGATCCGAGGGAAACTACACAGTTCTTGCCTGGACACCTACTCCCTCTGACCTAAAATTGAAGGCTTATTCCGGCCATCCTGATCCACCCTATTGTATGTTGCCCGTTGGCCGCTTCTACGCCACTGACTCTGGAGAATTGGTAAGGGACATTTTATGTTATTTTTTTAAAATTGAAGGTTGTCAGTTTTTTAAAAGAATTTGAGGATATGAGCATAAAAAGTCACCATACCAGAGGAGAAACTTTTCATGACAACACAAGTCAAAATTGTTGATGGTCCCATCAAAATTTTTTGATGGTTTATGTTGGCACGATTCATGATGGTCCAGCATCATTTTGATGGTCACAATCATCTAACATTTTCCATTCTGCTGTCATGGTGTTTGATATGCCAACAAACTTCCGTCATTCCATGATGGAAAATGTTACTTTAATACTATGATGGTTAACCAGCAAGTGAACCAACAATCCGTGATGGTTCCAATTATATATTTCCTTGATGGTTTAATGGGAATTCTTGTTGGTTCTCAGTAATTTGAACCATCATAAATCAGTCCGAAGTCTTACATTGGAATAATGGTTGTCCATGATTATTCCAACATTTCATTACTAGTATACTAAGGAAATTCGCGATGGTCCATAATGATACAGTATATTTCCATGATGGCTTTAAAGATATTCTTGTTGATTTAGCAGGAATATACCCTCAAAACCATTTGGTTTTTTTTTATGTTGGCCCATTATAAATCAGAGCAAATTCTTACATTAGAGTGATGGTGGTTCATGATTGTTCCAATATTTTCTTTCTAAGAAACTATGATGGAACTATCTGTTGGTTCAAGATGAACAAACCATCAAAACAAGTTACTATTCTTATGTTGGCCCATCATAAATCAGACCAAATTCTTACATTAGAGTGATGGTGGTTCATGATTGTTCCAATATTTTCTTTCTAAGAAACTATGATGGAACTATTTGTTGGTTCAAGATGAACAAACCATCAAAACAAGTTACTATTCTTATGTTGGACCATCATAAATCAGTCCGAATTCCTACATAGGGGTGATGGTTTCTTATGTTGGTTGCCATAAAGATTATGTTGGTCCGTCAATTTTAAACCATCAAAAATTTTGACTTGAGAAATTAGGCTTCAACTCGATTGGTAATTTAAAATGTGAATTTTATAAAAATTACATTATTTCATTCCTGTTGCATAATCCTGAATAATCCGGTCATATTTTGTTTGCAATTTTAAAATTTTGAAAAAATAAATTCAGCATTTTAAACTTTATGGTTTGCTTTAGAATTACCTTAACATCTTTACTTTACATGTTATGTGTGTGAAAAAAACTTGCTACAAACGGTTTCTCCCTCGATATGGAGTCCATTCCAGAAGATTTTTGAAAACATCTAAAATTATGTCATGGCAGAATGAAATAAAATTCTGCAATAATAGTAGAATGTTTTTGCCCGTGTTCTTTTTAACACTAAACATGCCATAACCGGTCAAATGACCGTTTGAGAACTTTTGCATTGAAAATGCTCTTATCATCTTATCGTTTTTGTACATTTGACTTCATGGCTATTTCTAACAATTATATACAGTTAGTATTCTTTTATTTGTGTATTTAGTTATTTTTTGTATTTTGTTTGTTTCGAATAATACTTGTTGTATACCCACTTCTACCACAACCGGTCATTTGACCGGGAGAACACTTTATTGTTTTATAAGGTTATCGGATCAGAAATGACGATGTAATGCGTGTTCAACATATTGCATTCGATTAGTTGCACATTTCTGCAAAGACTGTTGCGTATTTTGTTCAATCAGAATAACGGTGAATTCAAATTTCAAGAAAGTACCTGAAATTTGAGATTGGCATTTTCGTGTCAGAAAAAGAGACCAAAACTAAATGTTTTGGTAAGTAGCTGATATTTTATTTTGAAAGGTTTACTTCATTTCTAACTAACTGTTAGTTTTTGCGCAGAAAAAAGTTCCTTAGGAGAAATAATATTAATTATAAGAATAATTACAAAAATTATAATTCTTATTTATTCTTATAATTATAAGAATTATAGAACTAATAATAATTAGAAGAAATATGTTTTGCTGAAAATGTACAATGGAAAGACCCTGTATCTGTAAAAAATGCGTTGAGAATTGAATTAAAAATTGTTATTCTTTGTGTTTGTATTACATAAAAATTGGCAATATGCAAATTTGTTTACTTATAATAAAGTTTTTTTTTAGTTTATTTCCTTCCTAACATCCATATTTTATACATGCAATCAAGAATCATAAAGTCCTGTTATTTGACCGGCTATGGTGGAAATAGATATATATTAAGTGCTGGCGTGTTTAGTGTTAAAAGAGAAAACTGCTTCAAAAAAAAACATTTCGTCGTAACAGTTTACTTAAAAATATATCTACTAAAATATTGTTTTGTGTTTTTTACAAGAGGTTTTCCTTAGAAAGAGATATATTCTGGGTGATACGTGATAAACCACCTGTTGACGAACCCCCTTGTGGATTCGATGGCAGTGGATGCACGGCAAGTCCAGGTACACTTCTTTCATTTATTTATTTATTTTGCATGTTTAATCGTGTTTTCTCGAAAGGTTGGAACTGAAAATACAAACACGGCAGTGTGGTTCACTGTGTAATAACTCCGGGGGGGGGGGNGGGGGGGGGGGGGGACCGATTCTCAAAATTATTCATTATTTTATTTTTATATTTTATAACCGTCGTTGAACAGCAGACCCAATTTTTAGGTTTACTACTGCTAATGTTCAACTACGAAGCCTTGTAATTTTGAACCCAATCCGGAAGAACTCCCGGATTAAGTAGTAGGAGAAATTTGCCTTTGTGGAGGACTTTTTTTGATGGAACTAACCCACATTTGCATTACATGGAGAGGAAGACCACGAGAACCTCCTACGGTTAGCCTGACGATAGAGGGACTCTGTCCTATGATCCGCCTGCCACTGAGGATATTTTACGTCAGCACTGTGGTCGGTGCAAGTGCAAGACGGATGCGGATTCGTTTTGACCAGCCATCGCCGGGGATTCGAACCCGGTTCACCTCATTGGAAAGCGAACGCTAGTCAAAATTTGATAACTTTAACGGACCGCCAAACTGGTTTTGAGCACGGGATTGGAAGACACTTATTTCGACTGGAGTAAGATTTTCGTGAAGTTCAGTGGTGTTTAATTGAAACCCCCATTAAAAATTCGTTAAATATACTGTTGGGCCGTTGAATATAAAGAAAAATTCATTTAAGGATGATAAGTAAATTTCACTGTTAGGACTGTTTATGGTTAGTCCATCGAAAGAACTCTCCTCGCCCCGCTGCTGCTATGGAAGAAAGAAATAGCGCATTTTAAAGAGGGGAGCTTCTTTCTTCCGTAATTTCCTTTCTCTCGCTGACCGGGAGCAAAGCCTGTCTTAAATAATGGCACAATTTGAAATAGTTATACCTCGTTACCATAGTCACCTCCACCACACCAGAAGAATGGCTAGGGGAGTTCTTTGCATAAACTAATCATAGGGAACTATTGTTTAAATTGGGATATTATTCACATATGCTCATCTTTTAAGTGGCATCTTATTGATATCTTTTTAAACAAAAACGTTAAAGTTAGTTAAACGTTAGCTAAAAAAATACTATAATAGTGTTTTTATAGATAAAAATGTATTTTAACTGAACTGGTTTAAATATTAAAATTCCATATCGATATAAATTCAAATTCTTGCTTAGTTTCTTAGGATATTAAGATTTAGCTTAAGATTATTATCACTAATTTTTTTAACTGAAAATAAAATGAGCTTTTTTTTTAAAAAAAAAATTATCCATTATGCAAACTAAATTGAGGATAGAAATTTTCAATCGTAAGTGAACAAAGAGGTAACAAAATAAACATTTTTCTAATATACGTGTTATCTCATTTAATTCTTTTCCATGTTTGGAAGTAATTCTACGTTTTCCAAATTGTTTGCACTTTTTAATATTTTCTCATAACTGTCAAAATATTTTTTTTAAAACCTGAATTGTTAATTTTGATAATTATTAAACAATGTTTTGTTTCAGATAGAGTCAAAGAATACATACTCTTATCACTAACAACAACACTTATAACCATTTCCCTTTTTGTATACATACTATACAAGTAAGTTAAATTTGATTCATTCAATTTTATTATTAATACTGTAATAATTATATCAGGGCTCGAAAAACTGTCCGTCCGCCCGTCCTCGGCGGTCAAAAATTTCCCGCGCACAACAAATTTCTCGAATACATCTCGAATTTTGCTTTCTTTCGTGCGGACGGCCATTTTTCCGTTAATGTTTGTGATACATTTTCAATTTTAGTTATTACAAGAGTCTAGCGCCTCACTTCTAAAATGACCCTCTAATCTGGAAATACAGCAACATACTGCGCATGGTGGAATTGATGATTTTTCTGTCTCGGTGTACTGCAGCGGTTGAAAGAGGCTTTTCAGCAATGAACTTACAAAAAAACACATTACGTACTGGTCTTAAACAATAAGCGTTAAACGCAATTATGAACATCCACCTAAATGGAAAACCCCATTCAGATTTCTGTGCAGAAACCTCTGTAAATCATTGGCTTGATTGTGGAACTGGCAAACGTCATATTTGATTCATTTAAAAAACGCAGTACCCTCGGATAAATTGACATTCCAGATAACTTGACTTTTGTTATTTAAATTATTTCATAAAAGAAGGAGATTATTTCATAAAAGAAATTCTAGGTTTTACTATTAGTAACCTAGTATTTCTTTTATTACTGTATAATATAATCCTAGTATTTGTAATCCTAGTAACTACTAATTCATTGTGCAAT